ATTGGCTACATAGTTTTTAATTTTTCCCCATTACACTTCTGAAACGAAACTAGAAATATCGAGAAAATTATCAAAGTGCCAATATTCCTGCCATCATAGTGCAAATATACACACATGTGCGCCCTAGCATATACATACGCATGTACACAATTCAGTACCTTCCTTTTTTCCCTTTATAAAAGAGCAACAGGCCTGCATTTGTTATTTGTTCTTTTAACGCTTGTTCAATTTGAGAGAGAATATGCCGAGGGCAGGGAGACAGAGAGGGATAGAGGGTCCGAAGAGGGCTCCGTGCCGACAGCGGAAAGCCCAATGTGGGGCTCGAACTCACGAACCGTGAGCTCATGGCCTGAGCCGAAGTCAGATGCTTAACTGACTGAGCCACCCAGGTATCCCAATAGACCTGCATTTCTTTTTTCTTTTTTTTTTTTTTTTCAATTTTTTTTTTTTTAACGTTTATTTATTTTTGGGACAGAGAGAGACAGAGCATGAACGGGGGAGGGGCAGAGAGAGAGAGAGAGACACAGAACCGGAAGCAGGCTCCAGGCTCTGAGCCGTCAGCTCAGAGCCCGACGCGGGGCTCGAACTCACGGACCGCGAGATCGTGACCTGAGCTGAAGTCGGACGCTTAACCGACTGAGCCACCCAGGCGCCCCTAGACCTGCATTTAAATCCCAGCTCTGGCCAAGCCACTTCAGCCCCTGCACCCAGGTTTCTTCATCTATAAAATGGGGCAATCAGTGCTACCGTGCAGAGCACAGGAGATAATGTGTGGGGAGCATCTGGCCGTAAGTGCGTGGCTCTGTGATGGTTGCTCTTACTACTGCCGATGAGCTAGGTGCTGCCTCCCCAGGCCCCCTGAGTGCCAGGGGACCCAGAGGGCCCCCACGCATTTATTCATTCCATAGCCACTTAGACAGTGTGTGCTGTAGGCCAGGCCTTATGCTGGGTGACAAGGGCACAGAAATGAACGTGACTAGGTCTTATCCTCAGTCCAGAGCTCAGTCCGGGAAAGGGGGCAGATAAATACACTGGCAAGTGAGAACCCGGGTGACGACAGCGATGGCGGCCTTACAGATGGATGCCGTGAGGCTCTGCACAGAAGTTGATGGAGCAGCCAGCTCACAAAAGAAGAGGGTGTGTGTGTAAAACTGACACCTGGGAGGGCATTTCAGGCAGAGGACAAAGCATGTGCAAAGGCCCGGAGGCCCCAGAGAACATGGCCCGTCCTGGGATTAGCAAGTTTCCAACTCTGACTAGGACAGTGGATATTAACAAGGAACACGGCTGCGGGGGTCTGAGCCTGGCATGACGTGGGAGAGATCTGGGGCCCATCCTTACACCAACAAGAAGGCTTTCGGTGGCAAAGAGCAGAACACTCTGATGCAACCGGCTTAGCAAAGAAGCGATATAAGAGCTCATGTGTCAAGGAGATGGGAGGAATGGCATCTGGGTTTCGTTCATCCAAGCAGCTCAACCGCATCTTCAAGGACCCCATCAATTCCTGCCTCCGCTCTGCCACCTTCAGTGTGTCAGACTATCCTGAGACTTGTCCCCTCACGCACTAAGGTGGCTGCCTTCGTTCCAACATCACACGCAGACGCCACGGTGTCCGGAGGGGCTCCACGCCGCTCCCACTCACCCCCCTTCCCTCTCTCAACCCATCAAATTCCTTCCAGAATCCCCCTAGCTTCCCTCCACCATGACAGGCCAGAAGGCATCCCATTTCTCGCAAGAGGCGAGGACCGCCATGCTTGGCTGAGACCCATGAAGAGCCTCCCCTGGGGAGCTCCAGTTGTGGGGGAAAAGGAGACAGAGAACAGCGTTGCTGCCGTGCCAGCAAGGGAGAAGTTCAAGAGTGGATGTGGAAGAGGCATCCAGCACTGTCTGGTAAAATCCCGAACGCACTGGGGAGTCATTACTTACCCTCTCTGTGCCTCGGTTTCCTCAACTATAAAATGGGAATAATAGTTTCTGCCTTACAGGGTTACTTCCGAGGGTGAAATCCCATACCTCCTATAGTGCCCGACACATATTAATCTGTCATAAATATCAGTCATCACTAAACTATCCTTCTCCCTAATCAAAACTCTCATTCTCTAAGGTCCCAGGTGAAAACACATTTAGCAGCATAACAACTGGAGGGTCTCTTCAGCCCTCCCTGGGCCTCAGCTTCCTCATCTCCAAAATGAGAAATTTGGGCCAAGTAACCTCTGTACCCTGAACTTTTCAGCCACGAGCCTTTCTGGGGTCCACGATCCGTACCAGATTGCTCACCCGTTCTGGAACATACCCTGCTTCCACTTGCTCTGGCCGTGTTCTCAGTTTGGAACGGACACCCGTGTTTTGGAGGCTACCTCCAAGGCTCCATGTCGGAAACCCTTCCCATTCTGCTCTCGAATTCAGCTGAGCTACACCTGCCTCACACTCAAGTCCTGGGAGCAGGTGTGAGCCCTGGAGGGGAGCCTGTGTTTGAGGGCTGAGTCCCCCGGTGACCAGCAGGGGGCAGTGCACAGCAAGGGCTCCGGTACCATGTTCCTTCCTTCTTACTAACACCACGAGGGATCAGGGAATATTTATTGAGGCCTTACCTTGAGCTGAAGAAGGCTTAAATCACCTTCCATGGAACGTCTTATTTCATCCTTGTAACGTCCTACCCATGAGGTAGTTATTGTTATCATCCCCACCCTACAGATGAAGGACCTGGGGCTCAGAGAGATGAAGTGACTGGCCCAAGGTCACGAGGAAGGTGAATGATGGAGCCAGAAACACACCCCATGCCTGTCGGACTCCAGAGGCCTTGTTCCCTAAACAGTAACTTGGTGTCTTAGGAAAGAGAACCAAATGCCCACCCCCTAGACGTTACCCAGATGTTGTTCTTTTCCGTTTAAGGTGGGTTATGTGGCCCAGTACGTGATCTATCTTGGTGAACGTTCCGTGCGAACTTGAGAAGAATGTGTATTCTGCCGTTGCTGGATGACATATTCTATACATTAAATCCAGTTGATTGGTGGTGCTGTTTAGCCCAACTGTGTCCTTACTGATGTCCTTCCCACTGGATCTGCCCGTTGCTGATGGAGGGGTGTGAAGTCCCCAACGACAAGAGTGGCTCGTCTATTTCTCCATGCAGCTTTTTCAGTGTTTGTCCTCGTGATGTTCCCTTCCTAGGTGCGTACACGTTAAGGATTATTACATCTCCTTGAGGAATTCGTCTCTTTATCATTATGCAATGCCCATTTTATCCCTGATTGCTTTTCTTGTTTTGAAGCCTGCTTTGTGTGAATTACTGTAGCTATTCCGGCTTTCTCTGATCAGTGTTAGCACGGTATATCTTTTTCCATTCCCTTCCTTTTCACTGATCTGTGTCTTTGTTTTTAGAGCAGGCTTCTTGTAGACAACAGACGGTTGAGTCTTGTTTTTTGTTTTTTATCCCTCTGACAGTCTCTGTTTTTTAACTGGTGTATTTACACCATTCATATTTCGGGTGATACTAATAAAGTTGGATTAATATTGACCATGCTCATAACTGTGTTCTGTCTATTGCAATTGTTGCTTTTCTTAATCTTCCCATCTATTTCTGCCTTACCTGGTTTTATGTGCTTCCATTTTCTCCCCCCTCTTAATATATCAGTTAAATTTCTTTTTTCTTTTTATTTTTTTTTAACATTTATTTATTTTTGAGACACAGAGAGAGCATGAACAGGGGAGGGTCAGAGAAAGAGGGAGACACAGAATCTGAAACAGGCTCCAGGCTCTGAGCTGTCAGCACAGAGCCCGACGCGGGGCTCGAACCCACGGACCGCGAGATCATGACCTGAGCCGAAGTCGGATGCTCAACCGACTGAGCCACCCAGGCGCCCCCAGTTAAATTTCTTTAAAACAAAATTTAGGGGCACCTGGATGACTCAGTCGGTTAAGCGTCTGACTCTTGATTTCAGCTCAGGTCATGATTTCACAGTTTCGTGGGTTCGAGCCCTGTGTTGGGCTCTTGTACTGACTGTGTAGAGCCTGCTTGGGATTCTCTCTCTCCCTCTCTCTCTCTCTCTGCCCCTCCCCCACTCATGCTCTCTCTTAAAAAATTTTTTTTTCTTTTTTTTAGTTGTTGCCCTAGTGTTTGCAATATATCTTTACAATGAATCAAGGTTCACCTTCAACAGCACGATACTGCTTCATGGCACCCAATACCAGCGTGCCCCCAGTCCCTCCCTCCCATCCCTCGTGACATTGCCAGCATTCATTTCACTAATTCAAAGGCTATGATCACCTAATACTGGTTTTTTTTTTTTGCGATTATTTTTGCTTCCAGCAGTTATCCATTAGATTAAGAATAAGAAAAATAAAATATTTTATTTGATCTTCATTATCTCTTCTCTGATACTCTTCCTTTCTTTATGTAGATCCGAGTTTCTGACCCACATATTTTCCTTCTCTCCAAACAACTTCTTTTAACACTGCTTGGAAGGCAGGCCTACCAGTGGCAGATGTCATTGATTTTGGTGACGGGGTGTTCCCAACACACACAGGTTACACCTGTTGCCATTGTCCCACGGTTCTTGGATATTCTGTTTCTTTTCTTTTCTCCCCCCATTCCTTTATCTCCTTACGTTTCATTTTTAGAATTTCCTTGTTTGTTTGCTTCCTGCCCTGTTGTCTTTGGGTTTCCCTAAGAACTCCTTCTGAAAGAGAGTCTGAGTCTTGTAGCTCTTTTGGTTGTAAACCACCCTTAGTATACGGGAGACCGGCTGCACTGGTGGTAAGATGTTGGGGAGGGGAAGCATCTTGTACTCTTTTATTATTAAATCTCCGATTTTTTCGTTGGCCTGACCCCCTGGGCTGTGACCTTCAGAAGCGCATCTCGGCCCTCTCTTGCTCCCCTTAAATGAGATGGGAAGGCTAGAAAGGGTCAGAAGTGTCTAACTGTCCTTCCCCCAGCCAGGCAAGGCTCTGGGAAAGCAGTTTCTTCTGAAGGGTAGGTCTTTGTTACGGAAAAAGCTCTGGGCATATTGCAAAGTGTTTATTTTTTCTGCTCCAAACAGAAGGGGTTTTTCTCTGATCTTCATCGTATGAACTGGGTAGGGCTCCTGGGGGTGAAGCCCATAAAAGTCCGGGCGTCCCTAGGAGGGGACCAAGTTTGTAACTTGCAGTCCAGTCCACACCCAACTTCCATCAGGCCCTCACAATCCCCATCTAATAGCAACAACACAATAATAATAATTCATTATTATTAATTATAATTCATTAATAAATAGAACGGGAGAAAGCCTTTGGAGATAACGGCGATGTTCATGGCGTAGTCGATGCTGATGGTTTCACAGATGCACGCTTAGGTACACGCTCGTCAAGTCGTATACGCTAAATATCCACAGCTTACTGTATGTCAATCACACCTTAAAAATGTGTTTTTAGGACTGCCATGGCGCGGGGTGGCGGGGGGCGGTGGGAGGGTATAGAAATTACCATTTAAGTAATCCTAAGAGTTACTGGTTCTGGTGGCTTCTGTCCCCGATGAGCTGATCCTGGTTGTGCTTCTGGTTTCAGGTTGGCAGTTTGCCCATTGGCCCTCCTTCTCTGCTGGACCTAAAAGTTGTGGACTTTGGGGCACCTGGGTGGCGTCAAGCGTCCGACTTCGGCCCAGGTCATGACCTCACAGTCCATGCGTTTGAGCCCCGCTTGGGGTTCTCTCTCTTTCCCTCTCTCTCTGCCCTCCCCCCCTCACGCTTCCTCTCTCTCTTAAAAATAAGCTTTAAAAAATAAATAAACAAAAGGTGTTAACTTTTAGCTTGTTCAGCTTTCTCTTGTTGTGACGATGGGGGTGGCAGGTTCCCAGCTCTTCACGCATCCGAGCCGAAACCAGAAGTAACCCCCTTGGCTGGCATTTTAACACATCTGCCAAAGGCCTGCCCTCCCATCATGGGACAGAGGGGCAGGCTATGTTGGCAGAGTAAATCCGGGAGCAGCTCAACCCACTACCGGTCCACTCAGCAAACCTGCCCTGCTCCCTGCAAGGAGGAGGCACCACCCTGGGGAAACTGAGGCCCTAGGGAAAGAGCCATGAACCGTGTCCCAAGGGCCCATCAGCCTCCCCATTCCTCTGCCGGCTCTAGCCTTCTGAATCCCTCTATCTCCTCCAGGGGCCAGACCAGGCTATACTAGAGGTAGAAGCGAGGGGTCGTGTGAAATGGGTGTGAGACTGAGGTCAGGCTAGCCAGGCTAGGCCCACCAAGCACAAGCTCCGCCTTTCACCGACTGGCCTTCTACGGCTTCAATCCCTTGTAAGCTTCGGAAGGAACAGTACTTTCCAACTGCGGAGACGACGGAAGTGCTTGGCACTGAGCCTGGCATGTCACAGGTATCCCACAAACACATTTCCTTCTTTCCCCCCAGGAGCCCCTGTCACCTCCGGAATCCAATCCGGTAGCCCTGCCTTGGCGCTGAGTGTTCCCCGGTCGGCACCGCCTTTCCGCCATCCCCCGCCCAGCCCAAGGGCTACCCAGAGGATGGAACGAAGGAAGTCTGAAAGCAAGTAACAGTGTTAATAGAGTTACATGCCAAGTACTGCTCTAAGTACTTGATGTGGATCCGCTGATTTGATCTACACACACGCAAAATGTATGATCTAGGAAATACCGGCATTCTAATTTTACCGGTACCGGTAGAAGTACCGAGAATCACAGCAAGAATCATAGCCAGTAAATGGCAGAGCCTGGGCTTGAACCCGGGAAGAGAGGGTAGAGGAAGTAAAGATCCCTGACCTTGGGAGGAGGACGCTAGGCAGAGGTCGAGTCCCTCGCACTATACTGGGTTTAGTTGTGTAGTTTAAGGACTCAAGTCTTCCTCCAGGGCCTTCGGGCTCCAGGGTTCACTGAGGGGATGTTAGTGCTAATGGGGGATTGGGAGCCCCGAGGGAGCTGGGCCAACCCTGTGAGACAGGAAGGGGCTTGGGGATGTGCCCCTGTGCCCCACCCAGGGCTTTCCTTGTGCTTCTGCTGCTTCTCAAGCTTGAATAAGCACAGGAACCCCCTCAAGGATCTTGTTAAAATGTAGCTTCGGATTTAGTAGGTTTGGGGTGGGGCTCAAGATTCCGAATGCCTAACAGCCTCCTGGGGGATGTTGCCGCTGCTGGTCTAAGGACCACCCTTAGACAAACAAGATTCTGGAAGCCCCACATGTGTCCAGCCCAGCTTCCTTCTGTCGCTTCTTGCTTCTCTCACTCCACCTGCCTGTTTCCTTCTGTATCGCTGGCTCTGGAATGAGAGTTCTTGCCATGCCCCTTCCTAGGTGGCAGGGCAGCCTCTGAAGCGCACTCCAGAAAAGCTACCCAGCTACCCGGGGAAGGGTCAGCCACATAAACCAGTTACCCAGCACGGGCCAAGCGTGCACGTTGGGCCCAGCACCTTCCATCACCTCTAGATCCCAGAACGCTGGCTTCTGGCTCCAAAGCAGCACTTATGTCACCTGTAGAATGGAGACATGATCACAGAGCCTGCCCTCACGGAGTTGGCGGGGGGAATCGAATGTGTTGGCAGTGTAAAGAAGGCAGCCGGGTAACTGGCACCCAGTAAGCACCACTTGAGCAGCCTCTAATTTTTTCGAACGAATAATCAGCAGAGGTGGGTCTGAAGGTCACTTACAGATCATTAAGCACAGTAGCCCACAAACTTGACTGTGCGTCAGTATCGCCCGTGGGGTTTGTTAAAACACGGGTCTCTGGACCCTACCCCCGGAACTTCTGATTTAGTAGGTCTCAGGGGGGGACCTGAGAATCTGCATTTATGACCGGTTCCCAGGTGATGCTGATGCTGTCGCTCCAGGGGCCGATGTCGAGAACTGGGGGGAACTGCTCTGGGGGAACGCCTGCCCCTGCCCAATGAGGAGGAGCCCGGAAGCCAGAGCTGGCAGGGCTAGGCCGGGTCACACCAGGAGGTAGGAGTTCCAGGGACACCAGCGAGGGGCTCTTCTGAGACCGGAGGCCCCTCCGCAGGCCTCTCCTCCAAGCCTGCCCCCTCTCGTCTGGCCCAGCGCCACAGCCCTCAGAAGGCCCCTTCTCCCACCTTTGTTTGCATTCCCGGAGCCTGCGTCAGCCCGGGCAGTGGGCATGTCTATGCGGGCAGCCTGGCGCGGTCCTGGAGGCTGGCCCTATGCTCCAGGCCTCCTGGGCTGGTGCCGTAGTGGCCACGCAGGGCTCACTTAGCAGGCCAGTGACTCATGCTTCCTCCTGGATTCCGGGAAATGCTTCCCTGCTGCTGTCGCCTTTTTCTTGTTAAATGAGAACTTCATTGCAGACTTCCATGGAAACTTCAGGATGGGGAGGCAGGGGAAAAGATGGACAAATCCAGTCCCCAGAGGGGACCCAAGAATTCCATCTCTCTCTCTCTCTCTCTCTCTCTCTCTCGCTCCCTCTCTTTCTCTCCTACACACACACACAGAGTCACACACACACACACACACACACACACACACTCCCACCCTCTTGCCAGCCCTGGCCTGAGCCCCCAACCCACCACGGAGCTTTGGTCCAGCAGGGCCAGCCCCAGAAATGCTTGCTTTTATTAAAAAGGAATGGCCTCACAAAGGCACGACTGTAGGAAAGGTTGTAATTTGCCCAAATAAAACTTAATTTGATCCATGAAATAGCTGTGGTTTATTGTGTAATAGATGTGCTATGTGTTTCGATTTAATAGAAGCCAATATAATAGGGGGCCAGCTGGGGCCTCCAGAGTCCCCCTCTTTCCCACCACGCACAGTAGGGCCACACCGCCCTCCCCGATGGCGGGACCCTCCACCAGGAGAGGATGGAGAAGGGTTGGCCACAGACTCCTGGCCCAGACCGGGGAGGCCCGTGGGAGAAAGAGACAAGTAAGAGTGCTTGAAGGAAAAAAAAAAAAAAAAAGGAAAGAAATGAAAACCACTCTTTTTCCAAAGCAAGGCTGTGAGTGTGTGAGTCTGAGGAGGGGGCTGGGGAGCTGAGTCACTTTCCTGTCCCCTGCCGGAGTGGGCGGGCCCCTGCCAGGGGCTGTGGGAGAAAGCAAAATGGTATGTCACCTGGAATGTGTTTGGGGGTGTCCCTCTGGAAAAGCCTTCAGGGGCAGTCCCTGGGGCAGTGGGCGGCTGCCTTCGCCCCCAGAGCCTCTGTGTGAAGGCTGGCTGTCGCCAGGCTCAGCATGAAGGCAAGTACAGGCTGGGGGAGAGAGCCAGGGGTGGGAGGGGGGGCTCACTCAGATATGGTGAGGCTCCCAGAGAGAGTCCAGTCAGCACCCCCTGACCCCAGCCCGGGCCCAGAGAGGGCCCGTGAGCCGCACAAGGTCAAATAGCCAGGGAGCAGCTTGGCTGGCTGTCTTACAGCCAGTCAGGAGCGTTGACCAACTGACAGAGACCAGTAGGGGAGAGAAGGTGGGTAGGAGTAGCGGGACCTCACATTTGTCAGGTGTCTCCTGTGAGCCTGGTAATCGCCCTAAGCATGTCCTGCGCATTACCTCATTTAACCCTCACGACAACACTATATGGCAGGCAGTCGTGACCGGGGGCGGTGGCTCGTCCAAAGCCATAGTTGCCCCTGGACCTTCTGCTGCCTCCTGTAGGTGGAGACTGTGCCCCACCAGCAGCCCCGCCCATCCCCCAATCTGCTCTGCTCTGGCGGCTCCGATCCTGGGACCAGGTTGCTCCTGACTCATTCTCCCCATGAAGCTGCCATTAAAAGGCCTTTATTTGGCTCAGAGTAATGTTGGGCAAACCTCTGAGTCCCAGTTTTCCCATTTGTAAAATGACAGTAAGTACACATACCCCGCAGAGGCTGTTCCGGAGAGGAAGTGAGATACCATACAAGAGCATTTAAGCCAGGGCTTGGCACTCAGTAGATGCTCATTAAATCCATCTGTTTCGAACAACTCGCACTGAGAACGCCATATGCCAGGTACGTTCTGGACATCAGTTTGGGAGAGAGAACCATCTGGATTTGAATCCCAGCTCTGCCATTTGCTTTGCGGGAATCTGGACAGGTTATTTCACCTGAGCCTTAGTCTCACCACCTAAAAAATGGGCAGAACACTACCTACGCCACAAGGATGATGGGATAATGCAATGAGATAATAGATGGCATGTATAATAAGTGCTCAATAAATGATAGTTGTTTTATTATTTATTATCATCATTATTATTCTCTTTCTAAACTCTATTCCATGGCCTGACCGCCAGCGGATATGACCAGTCTGTCTAGCGTAGTGCTGTTCTCCTCTGGCCTCCAAGGATTTCTTAGTCTATCTGTGAACTGGAGTTTCTGTGCTGAGGCTCAGAGAATTCTCTGTATCCCAAGAACCCCAAAACAAATCACATATGAATCCAAAGATGGAAAGAACGGAAAGCAGTTACCCTAGAAGCATCCGCAGGGCATGATCTTCTGTTCTTTCCAGAAAATGTCACCTGTCTGCCAAACCCACTACTGGGCTGGACACAGGTGGGTCTGTGGGGCACCTGGAAGGGCAGGGGCCTCATCAGGCAGGGCGGGGTCTTCTCTGAGAGCCAAACGAGGGGGAGAGGCACCCCATCACCCCCTGTGCATTCTCCTCTCCTCCCCTCCTGCCTTGCCAACTCCCACTGCTGCCTCCTGGGCCATGGGGAGGCCAGGAAGCCCAGTTAGGGAGCCACGCTGTGTCCTGGGATGGGGCGTAGAAAGGATTGGAATCCTGCAGGACCGTGACTTTGCTCAAGGTCCAGCCAGTGTGTGTGTGTGTGTGTGTGTGTGTAGGTTTTTTTCCCATCGTATTTTGTTGCGTTCCCTTAATCTCAGTGCCTTGCAGGGTGCCACAAGGGCCAAGGGAGGCAGTCATGTGTGGAAGCACGCCATTAGACGACGCACATGGGAGGGACCACTTACCGTCGTTTCACACAGTCCAATTTCAATTAAGCCGATCACTGGCAGCTAGAAATGTTTAATTTAGACTCAGTCCCGAATCCCTTTTGGTTCAACATTTACTGTGGAGAATCTGTTTGTGTGATTGTATGATTTATAACAAAGTTGAACGTGACATAATAAAGCTAACACACACTCATTGTAGAAAATTTGAAAACTACGGGCAAGTATAAAACAGGATGTGAACATCACCCCTAACGACACAACCCGGAAGTGGTCAGAGTTATAGCTTATCTATATCTGCATCAATATCATAAGAGCAATATGGGTGCAGACATTCAGTGCTTTGTACGTGCCAGGGACTGAATTCAGTGCTTTCTGCTCTATCCGTGTATATAAGTAAATGAAGAATCATAGTAGCTATACGTAGGGTTAGCACCTGCCTTTTTTTCCATTTGGCCTCATCACATGAAAACTTCCCCAAATAACTAAAAATATTCGAGGGCCGCCTGGGAGGCTCAGCCAGTGAAGCGTCCGACTCTCGGTTTCAGCTCAGGTCACGATCTCACAGTTTGTGAGTTCGAGCCCCGTATTGGGCTCTGGGCTGACAGCACGGAGCCTGCTTGGGATTCTCTCTCTCCTTCTCTCTCTGCCCCTTCTCCACACTCAAGCACTCTCTCTCTCTCTCTCTCAAAAACAAATAAACTTAAAAAAAAAATTAATATTCTCAAACATGATCTTTCCCTTTATAAAAATAATGCACACTTACGGTAAGGTAAACAGTCCAGAAAAATAGAAAGTGGAAGGAAAACAAACTTCAGTTGTACCTTGACCTCCCCTCCCATCCTCCCGGGCGCAATTGCCATTAGCAGTGAAGCATGGATTTTATTATTATTTATTTATTTTTAATTTTTTTTTTTTTTTGAGAGAGAGAGAGAGAGAGAGAGAGAGAGAGAGACTGCAAGCGGGGGAGGGGCAGAGAGAGAAGGAGACACAGAATCCAAAGCAGGTTCCAGGCTCTGAGCTGTCAGCATAGAGCCCAACGTGGGGTTCGAACCCATGAACCGTGAGATCACGACAGAGCCAAAGTCGGACGCTTAACTGACTGAGTCACCCAGGCGCCCCATTAAGCATGGATTTTATTTTATTTTATTATTTTTTTTTTTAAATTTTTTTTTTCAATGTTTATTTATTTTTGGGACAGAGAGAGACAGAGCATGAACGGGCGAGGGGCAGAGAGAGAGGGAGACACAGAATTGGAAACAGGCTCCAGGCTCTGAGCCATCAGCCCAGAGCCCGACGCGGGGCTCGAACTCACAGACCGCGAGATCGTGACCTGGCTGAAGCCGGACGCTTAACCGACTGCGCCACCCAGGCGCCCTAAGCATGGATTTTAAAGGCTCCACAATATTTTGTCACACAGATGTGCCATCATTTCTGTAATTCCATGTTATCGGATATTTAGACTGTCTTAGAGTTCTTGCTGTTACATAAAAAAAAAAAAAGAATATTTCTCAGGAAAGATCCCCAGAGGCAGAATTGCTGGAACAAAGGGCATAAACATTTTTAAGGCTTTTGATCCATATTGAGAAACTGGTTTCCTGAAAGCCGCCCTGTTTAGAGTGTCATCTGCACAGAAGAACAGTGGTCTTGCCCATCTCACGTTATCTCAGCCCCACCGAGCGTTATGTATTATATATAAATAGTTGGGGTAAAGTGGTAAGTAAAAAATACCATCTCCCTATGTCAACTGAATCTTTTGTTTCCTAATGAGGTCACACATATTCGTTCTTAAATAAAAAAAAAAAAAAAAGAAGTTTATTTATTTTGAGGGAGGGGGAGGGGCAGAGAGAGAGGGAGAGAGAGAATCCTGAGTGGGGCTCAAACTCATGAACCCCAAGGTCATGACCTGAGCTGAAATCAAGAGCTGGACGCTTAGCCGACTGAGCCACCCAGGTGCCCCCTTAGTTACCTACTTTTAAATATTTTTTTAAGTAGGTTCCACCCCCAGTGTGGGGCTTGAACTCACAACCCTGAGATCAAAAGTCAGATGCTCTACCAAATGAGCCAGCCAGGGCACCCCCTTAGCAACTTACTTTTAAACAAACATAAACTTAGTCACTTACACTTTCCCTCTTGTTAGTTTTCTTTTCAGGTCCACTGCCTAATTGTTTTTTCTATCGAGGTTTTTAAGTTTTTTCTTTTTGATTTGCAAGTGCTCTTTACGTATGCATTTTTTTTTCATTCTATTTATGATATGTTTGGATGTACAGAAGTTCCCAGTTCAAGTTAGGCGGATATATACATCTTTTCCATGATAATTTCTTCTTTACTGCTGTGCTTAGAGAGGCCCATCCCGTCCAGAGATCAAAATCATGCACATTTTATTCTAGTCGTTTCATGGTTTCATTGTTTTCACATTTTATGGTCTCATCCGTCTGGAATTTGTTCTGCTCCATAGTGCAAGGTGAAGAAGTCTGCCCCCACCCCCCACCATTTCCTGTTTCCCCAGCACCATTTATTTGA